AATGTCTATGCCCTGGAAAACTACAAATTGTTGTCTAGGTGGTACCTGGTCCTATTACATATAGCTAAATTTACTACAAATTCGATTCCACAATGCTTTAGAGCAGGGCTCAAAATTTCAAGTCCTGAGCTACTAGCCAGGCCTTAAGAGTCAATAGCCACCAGTTGCCCCACCTAACCCTTACCCTGCCCCGGCCTTAACTCCGCCCCTAAACACACCCTCTTAAATAATCTTATGATAATTCTTATCTTATAATAGTTGCCGCTTGTAAACAGCAGATTAGGAATTCCAGCTGCAGGAAAACGCAAGTTCCTGACACAGGAATCTCTAATCACACCTGAAATATACTGTAGGTGTGAATGGGGCCTAATATACACTAAAGGTGTCCATACACCTGCCGATTATCGTACAATAGTTGTGGGTGATCCCATGATCGTACGATAATCGGCAGGTGTATGGGCCGCCTGCAACCGCTTCTACTGTAAGGTTGTACGACTTTCGTCTTCCAAGCACCCTGGAAAATATTTAAAAAAACATAGAAAACTCACAGTTTAAAACAGCAAAAACCGGCCGGTCAAACACAGCACCAAATCCAGCGTCCGCCAAGCATGTACTTCCTGATCGTGGTATCACATGGAATGGGCCCGCCCCGACGCGTTTCGTCACAGTCGACGTCCTCAGGGGGTTGCAGCTGCTGTGACGAAACGCGTATTATCTCTCCCTGTCATGCTAGATAAGCTACATTCAAAGCAGAGTGAACAAATCTCAGCTTGAAAGGAGCTTGAAAATTTAAATATGAAAAATATACGTTGCTTTGAGATGCCCAAACAAAGCCTAAACATATTTTGGGTGGAATTCATTAAAAAGGGAGCAGACAAGACCTGGATCAGTTGCCCATAGTATCCAAGCATTGAAAATGGAAGATATGAGCTGAATGGTTTCCATAGGTAACTGCTTCTGAGTCTGTCTGCTGCAGGTTTGATGAATTCCCCTCTATATGTCTATTATAATATACATTGATTAGAACAATTTCAGACATACTGCTTTACTACAGAAGTGCTGAGTTGTCTGAAAAAAAGTCAGTACACATGCTACTTGGATCCAACTACAACTTTTTTTGAAACGTTCCATTTCAGATGTCCCGAAAATGTTGTTTTCTTTATAAGACCTAGATTGCCCATCCAAGTGGAACAGCTGTATTTACAGCTGTTTGCCCTTTCATTTAGTCCCTCCACTTGACTGTACACTTTGTGGAAGATTAATTTAGCACCATTTACAACCAGCTTGACATAACACCATTCATAGCATTACAGAATAAAATAGCCTACTTTTGTTTATCTGTAAACCCACAGTAAGACGATCTAGTAATGGGTTACAAATGATAATTTTAGTTAAAGTAGTCTAAGATCTTGGTTAATGTGATATTCCCATTAAACATAATGGTCACTATCTTAACTTATATCCAGCATATATTCACAGATGGAAAGGTAAAAGAAAAAGCTCTCTCACAGTTACTCCATATGTTTTCCACTCAAGATTGACCTATGGTGATAAGCTGGTCCAAAGGCAGTCAGTTCAGCATATCAAATATAAAAGAGAAATATTTACAAAGCCATTGTCAAGAGCCTGAAGCTGAAGGAAGATTCACTGCTTCCTTTAGCATATGACTCTTGTTATTTACTTCATTTTGTATGACCTCACTGCAGCCCTCAACACATTTTCATTGGTTATCTATGAATCACAGATGTGTATTCTTGATCCTTGACATCATGAACATTATTTTATTCCCATGTTATTCTGATTCACAGATAAATAAATTTCACAGAGTAACTCAATGTGAATACTGATTCTTTTTTTAGTTTTTACATCATGCTAGCCACCTTACTATGTCACATGGACATCGTGAAGCTAGCCAATTCTGCTTTCTTCACACAATAGTTCAGTAACATTAATTGACCCTAATGGTCAGGAATCAGAGGAAAAGAACAGAGAAAGGGGCTTTGCACATCAAGCTTGCTGGATATCAGCGTCTGAGATCACTCTTCTGCTTTTTAAGCTGGTTTTCCTCTGAAGATTGTTTATAACCCCTTATTCCACGGTGTGCAGGACCTCTGGTTATATGAATTCGGGTTAGCCATTCAGGGACACTCTGGGACAGTGAAGATTAAATTGCATGTACACGAACAAAAGACGGCGTACACACTATAGCCAGACTTCAGAGGCTTTAAAATTAAGATGCAGTTTCTTATAAGAAAGCCCTGTATGTTTTTTATGTAATATCTTTATTTATTAGTGGCTAAAAAAGTGAACCATTTAAAATATCAGTATTGGATATGTATATATTATGTACTCCTATATTCAACCAGCTGATGGAGCTCTATGTTCATTTTGCATGCTTTCCTCTGTTTCCTTTGCTCCTTTCTTGTAAAAACCCTTTTGTTTAGAGAGCTCTGTGGCTGAAGTTGAATACACAGAAAAATAACTTAGACATGATTGGATAGCTCCATCTGAGGTTGCAGTCAGACAAACAAGCCAAAAGGCAGGTAACTACTGCTGAGCTGTTTCTCTAGCTAACCCATAGTTCTCTTGGAATCCTTAGTAACTTATACAATGTTTGCTTATACAGCAAAATATTTTCACTAATATGAAATGTTCTAAAACCATGCAAATTTATTCTGCACGTAATACAGACAACACATTCAGAATAGCCGTTTGCTAAATGTTGTTTTTTATTTTACTTTTTGCATAGGGTTTGTGCTTATTTGGACACTGAGTACATTTCCTAGTCATTTCTTTTTATCTATGCTTATAGTTCAGTCTCACTTACCCAATATGCATTCATTTAGCTAGTGAGAAATTGAACATATTTGTAATGCAAATATCTAAATCCAATTGAAATTTGGTATGTAGAATATAAAGAGAAAAATCCTCTGGATTGTCCTGAAGACTCATTTCCTGAATCATGGTTAAAGAACTGGTAGAGGTTGTCACTGAGACAATGGTAAGCTAAGCATCCTTACCACTACTTCCAAGTCATAGCTACTTGGCAGTTTGACAAATAATCTTTACCTTTCACAGTATTTACAGCAAATGTCAAATAATATTCTTTCCCATTGGGCAAATTTTGGGAATTCTGTTTGCCAGACGAACAAATCTTGGAATACTCACTGTTTTTATACTTCTCCAAGGTTACAGTTAAAACAACTCCTTAGGCTGTGATATTTTTTTTAATAAGGAAAACCAATGGATTTATTTGAATGCCTTCTCCCACAACTGACATAGTAAGAATCCAGAATAAGTAATTTGTTCAAGGCCATACTTCCATCACAGGAGCCTGTTTGCATACAACGTCTGGCACCCTACTTCTGCTAGGTGCACTTTTTTTACACACTTTGAGAGGAATTCATGAAAACTGGAGCAGACAAAATCTGGAGCAGCTGTGTCTGGCAACCAATCAGCTTCTCTCTTTCATTTTAAAATCTTAACTGAACAAACTGAAGAGGGAAGCTGATTGCTTGCCATGCACATCTGCTCCAGTTTTGATAACCCCTGCCCCCCATTGTGATTAGAATGTTGTGATTCTGTGATTTATATGGCATGATTGTAACTCTATTAAACAAAAGACACTGCGCTATCTCTAATATTATAAAACTCTAAGTGCATATACTTAGTGATAATTATACAACATGTTCACTCCAACTTATATATAGTCCATATAAAAATATTCCCAAAATTGATATACTATAGCGCTGATAATCATTTGTTTTGCTATGATTGTAATTCTGATGATGATGATGGGAAAAAAAAATAAAAGGTCAATGACAATTGAAAAGCCTATTGTGCTAAATGGAACAGTTGTTTTTTAGGGTTATTATTTTTTGGGTGACCCAGAGAATGCATGGAGGATATGGATTTGTGCAGTGTGAGGTCATATACACATCCTATAGTGTATCTATACCCCAGAACAACACATTTATATATTGCAGCCTACCAGTCCTTAGATGTGGTGGCTGCATTCGTTTTAGCAAGTACAGAAAATACCTGTTGATCTTGGCTGAAATGCAGTGTCCTTGTCACTTATTGTAAGCTGCACTAAAATCATGACCAGTGTCATCTTCTGATACTGATACTAATGTTCCCATCCTCCAAGTAATGGAGGTGATAAAATTTAGATATATTTGTAGTAGAGTCTGGATGACAACCAAGATACAGTGGAGTGGGCATAGTCAACCAGAGACAGGGAGTGTATCAGTCACAGGATTAGCAGCAGAGAACAGAGAAAATGAATGCAGCCACATTATCTAAGCACTGGTGAGCTGCAATATACTGAAGCGCAAGACAAAATTACAAAAAAAAAACCATATGCATAACTTCTCCAATACATCCACATTTTCCCATGTTTTATCCGTTCAAGTACAGAAAAATACCTATTGATCTGCCAAAAATGCATTTATCTTTGTTATGGGCTGCCAGCATTTCTGTGAACTGAGTGGTATCAGCCCTGCCTGGTGCCCTTTGCTCAGCTACTTAGCCATGCACAGGAAATATGCACAGGACACGGGGCGGCACTGAGTTTCTGACCAAATCAACAGATATTTTTTGCACATATCAAACAAATATAGCAAAATGCTTCTGATGGTTTAATAAACAGACTAAAAGGGAGCAAAAAGGGAAAGTTTTTCTGTGAGGGTTTAAATATACCTTAGATTTTTAAATGTTGGGTTTAGATACACATTAACATGTTTGTTTGTTGTTGGATGAATCCTGTACCAGTTTGATCTGTCCATGGTCCCTAAACACAAAGATCTGAAACCGCTTGCTCCAGTAAGATGTTTTTTTTTCCCCTGTTTATTGAGCTCTTTTCATCTCTTAAGGTTGCAAACCATGTGTAGCATGTTGTTGGCTTTACTTCTCTAAATGCATAACATTCAAGGTGTGAAATAATTGCTGTTCATGTGCACGTTTTCTTTTTAATTCAAGGCTAACACACTTTTCTATAGAGTTTTATAACCTTGTCTTTCATTTACATCTAACAGGGTGGCTTAAGCGCTCAGGTTTTTGTTCGTGTTGATATAGAAGATATAAATGACAATGCACCTGTGTTTGAGACTACAAATTATGTGACAAGCATCAGCAGCCATACTCAAGTGGGCACAGAAGTTGTCAATGTGTTAGCTGAAGACAGAGATGGAGGAATATTTGGAGAAGTACTTTACGAAATCATACCTGGAGAAAAAACATCACTATTTACTATTGACTCAGCTACAGGTAACTATGTATCTCTTTAACTACCACTACTTCACCCTGTGCAAGGCTTATCCAATAAAGCAGTGCAAATGACAATGGCAGCAGGACGTAGCCCAAAACAACCAATCACATTGAACTTTAGTGATAGATGAAATCCGAATTCAGTTTTCTTGTTATGAGTTATTGCAATTTAAAAAAAAAATTATTTATAGAATAAACCTACGTGTTCACATTACACTATTTCCTTTTCTTGAGAGTTTCACAAATCATGACTCATTTTACTCCATGTAGTAGCACCAAAGTGTCCCCACCACTTAGGGGTCTATTCAATAAGCTGCCGTAGGCAGCCGAGTGAATGACCGACCTAAAGCGAAGTGAGCCGAACGCTGTTCGGCTATTCAATTCAGGCTGGAATCAGCCATAAGTAGAAAAAAATTAAATAGAAAATGATTGTGCTGAGCTAGCAATGACAGCTAGCTCCGCCCAACAGTTTTCTATTGACCGGCGGTTCTGCTGCCGTCAAAAAAAAAGAAAGAAAGAAAAACTCTCCCGGGCGCTCCGGAAGTCTCCCACTCCCGGCCGCCAAGGAGAGAAGCACTGCTTTTTTTTTCTTTATTCTGACATGGAGCCGTGTCAGAATAGAAAAAAAAAACTACATTTTTGGCCATAGGAATGCATTGCTAGATACCTATTGGCTATTTCAATTTGCAATAGCCAATAGCAAACTAGCTATTGTACCCGCCCTCGGCTGCTGTCAATCAGTAGTAGTGGACCTGATGGAGAACTGCAGCAGAGGGCGGGTGCAATGCTAGTTTGCTATTGGAATTCATTGCACAAAGCCATGTAGAAAATATAGGCTTGTGATAAGCAGGACCACAACCTATTGGAGACTCCTGCTGGAGTTAACTAAGGAAAATCTCTAAACAAATAAAACACATTACCTTTCTCTTTATTTCACACAATGACTGAGAGTCTGTTCACAGGAATTAAAATGCTATTTATCACAATTAAGTTTGTAGAACGCCAAGTAATAACACCTGAACATTATTAATCTGTTCAATTAGTGTATGTTTTCTATACTGAAACTGAAGCCTGAACACTTGTTTCAAAGAATACTCAAACCAACAAACCAACATTGAAAATTCAGTACAGGTTAGAATCTGGAGTAGAAAACACATAGATCAAATACTCACTTCTGGATCTTTAGCCCGAAGGAACTATTATCTAGACCTGCAACTCCAGCCCTCCAGCAGTGCTTTAACTACCAATTCCAAAATGCCTCTGCCTCTCAAAGTCATGCCTGTAACTGTCAGTCTTGCAATGCCTCATTGTAGTTGTAGTTCCACAGCAGCTGGAGGGCCAAAGTTGCGCACCCCTGAACTAGAAGTACATGATACTTTCTGCTATCATCAAGCTGTCTCCTTTATTAGAAGGACTATCCTCTGAACAATGCAATGATTGGTTTATGCAACATTGCACTCTGTCTTTTACATGTTGTTTACAAAATGTTGGCCACTGTGAAGAGCCTGCAGTGTCCTACAGAGTGTTCTCTGCATAACGCTGCAGAGAACACTCTGTGATTGGTGGATAGGTAAGCGATTAAGTCACCAGCACCACAATATCTTCCTTATCAATACATCTTTATTGATGTTAGATAATCGTTTCTGATGAAGGGTGTAGTTGTGAAACGTTGTGTTTTCCTGTGAAACCATGATAGTCTAACATCTATAAAGACCTATAGATAAGGAAGATATCAGTGTGCTGTTGCCTTTTTCTCTTCTGTGTATACATGCGGCACCATCCGCTTGTCACTGCAGCACCCTACCAGAGAGATTACAAGGGACAAATTGGTTAGGTATGTGTTGGGCTATACATAAGAATGGTGGAGAGGTTAGTCACATGTATTTTTTGCCATTTATTAATTTGAAAACTTTTTCTAAACACATTTCAATGTGGCATGCTTTTTTTTTTTAAAGCAAAAGTATAGCAGCAGCAATGCCATAGTACTGCTTTATAACTTCATACCACCATGACTATACTTCCACAATAAGATCCATGATCCAGTTGCATCCCCAGAGTGTTCCAAGTTGCTAAGAGCTGGGCGGAAAAGGGGCAGCATTGTGCCACTATACACAACTATGCCTCTCTGCTGGCTGCCCCCCCACGCTCCCTGTGATCCTAAGAGATGCTATCTGCGTCAACAGCCTCAGGCTGCCTCATTAAAGGGATGACCCTGCCAGGATCTATAAATTGAAGTCTGGAATGCTTTTCAGGACTGTTTGAAACTAGCTATTTATTGAATTTTTGTTACTGTATAGGACATGCACATAGGACCATAGAATTTCCAACGGCACACAGATATGATATCTTGTTTCAGTCAGCACTTTGCAATAGCCAATAGTAAACTAGCATTGTACCCGCCCTCTGCTGCAGTTCCCCATCAGGTCCATCAGCAGAGGGCGGATACAATGCTAGTTTACTACTGGCTATTGCAAATTGAAATAGCCAATAGTAATGTCCCAATGCTTTTCAATGATAAAATTCTCTTTTTTTTTCTATTCTGACATCGCGTGTCAGAATAAAGAAAAAAAGACACAGCCCTGTTTCTCTCCTTGGCGGCCGGGAGCGGGAGGCTCCCAGAGCGCCCGGGAGAGTTTTTTTTCCTTTTTTCTTTTACAGCAGCAGAGCTGCCGGACAATAGGAAACTATTGGGCTGAGCTAGCTGTCACTGCTAGCTCCGCACAATCGTTTTCTATCAACCGTCTTTTGTACTTTTTAACTATTTTTCTGTTCTGCTCGGTACCTCTGAGGGACCGAGCAGAACAGCCGAGCCGAATGCCGCTCCTTTTGCACTTCGGGTCGGCATGCGAAGCAAGCCGATGTAAGGCTGATTTCAGCCGATGTACGGCTGAAATTAGCCGTACCAGCCTGAAGTGAATAGCCGAACAGTGTTCGGCTCACTTCACTTCAGATCGGTCATTCACTCGGCTGCCCTCGGCAGCTTCGTGAATAGACCCCATTGATAGATTGTTACCAGTTCCTGTAGACAAATACTGTATCATATTCTATTTAATTTTTACCATTTACATTAGAAAAATATGAAAAGCTATTACGCCATTTCAAATGTTTTGTTTTGTTTTAGCCTGTTCTTTCATGTAGTTATACTGTTTAGACAGACTTGTTTGTTTTTATGTACTATCATATGACACAAAGCTGCTCTATGGACACAGCAATATGCAAAGGAGACAACACCAAAAAAGAGGTCAATACAAATAAATAACCCTATTTGATTATATAAATATATGACAGGAAAGTAGAAGAGGAAGCTAGGAGGAAAAAAAAAGCAATGTGTTTAGTAGTAGACATTTCCGTACGGCATGTGTTTGCCAACAAATTAAAGTCATCTTAAGATGGAAAACCCCTTTAGAGATGTAATTAACCAATATCAGACTTCAGGTCTATATCTTAGACAAGTCATTCCACATGGAGAGGTAATCTTAACGTTAAATCGTCTAATCATATGAATGAGCAGATGAGTAAACGCAACAATGGATCGATGCCCGGGAGCTTAACAATATCATCATTTCATTTTCATAATTTAAGCCTCATTTCCATGTTTCTCTTTTTTTTTGTTTCATGGTTGTTTGATAACTGTCCTAGATATTGTCCAGACCCAGTGTTGATGTAATTATGGTACATATCATAAACCTCTAATGTACTGCTACACCACAACTGTATAGCTTCTTCAGCACTGTTGAGTGGAATATGTCTGGGATTTTTTAAAGCGATACCATGCACAAGATATTTAATCTGGAAACATCATCTACTGCTATGATCTTTCTACTAGTCAGGAATACAGCAGTGATCTAATGCCACCTTTGTGGCATCGAAGGAAGCAGAGAAGCATCAAGGGCAGTGCAGTACCCATGAAAGTTTGCACCTGAGCTCATATCTATTAAATAATTGGTCAGCAATAACAAATCACATTCCTTCTTTTATTCGTTTAGATAAGCAGTCAGGAAAAGGTCCTTCACTGCAGAGGGGATGTGTGCTCCCAATGACTATGATTAGCTGTCATTATACATATCGAAAATAGAAAACCAGCTGCACTCCTTACCGGAACGACAGTAAACCTGCAAAGGCAGGTGGGTGCTTGTAGCGACCACGGACGGCACCGTGTGTAACACAATAGTATCAAGAAAATGTCACCAGCACACCAAAAGTAATTCAGCAAAAGTCCATTTAATGACACATTGCCATTCAGTAACAAGCGCTTTTGGGGCCTCAAGGGTACCCCTTCAGCAGGCTCAGAATGACACAGTCTCAAAACACCATCACCTTTAAATAGACACACAAATGAAATGTGATATTTTATTGCAGGAAATTTTGCTTTCAGGCAGAAGAACTAATTTAAAAGCTAGCCTCAGACATTTTACTGATGTTTGGATTGTTCAATATATTTGCTGTATCTTCCCTGATTAGGTATGTGGTTTCTGTAATATGACCATTGGTTCAGGGAACTTTAAAAGGTTGGGAACATTTCAATGGCAGGAGACACCCCTTGATGAGGATGAGGTAAAGTCTATCAACACGCCTGTAGCCTTTAGGAAATATGCTATTATGATTCATGCTTATAGAACAAAAGTACGCATATTTAGGTGTCCTCCATGAAAGATAAGAAATACTATGGCATTCAAGTAACTATCCTTTGTTCTAAATCCCAGGCAGCATTAAATTAAAGCTTGATAAGAACAGAACTGACTTCTGCATGTTTTGGAGATGCCTACTATATAGTCTGGGATTAAGCCTAACCCTATTTCAACGAATTTTTTGTTGGTTTTACCTCAGATTTTTATTACCTTCTGTTTTCCTGTTGAGAAGCTTTAACCTCACTACCGGGTGACTAAAGAACTGCGTGATAGGGCTTTAAGCAATACAAACCTTACAGATGTTCTCTCTTTCCCACTCTACTATTAAGAAAACGTGTTTTTTTTCTTCTCAAAGTCTGCACCCTCATGGAA